TAGTAAATAAACTAATTTAGACCAAGACCACCACATAATCATGAATGGAAGAAAAGCATGTTGGGACTCAGATCTTGTATGTACCTGACGTAGTTTTCATCTTCATCATGAAAAGCTATTTTCCCACCTATATAATTAAATTTTCTTCATATTAGATACTTATTCCTTATCACATATTTTTGAGGATAAAAAGTATTGTCCTCTTTTATTTGTTTAATCATTTTACAAGTTTTATACCTTTTTGATACATTATTATTACATACAGTAAAATTTCTAAAAGATTGCCCTCTTATTCATTTATTGTGAATAATTAATCAAGTTTTCATTCCTTGAAAAAAGGAAAACCTGGGGCTGGAGAGATGGCTCAGAGGTTAAGAGCAGTGGTCCTGAGTTCAATTCCCAGCAACCATATGGTGGCTCACAACCATCTATAATGAGATCTGGTGCCCTCTTCTGCCCTACAGGCACACATGCAGACAGAACATTGTATACATAATAAACAAATAAATAAATAATCTTTAAGAGAAAAGGAAAACCTTAGCTAAAATTCTGAATGAATGATAATATATTTGCTAAGTATAATAATTATGTAATAAAAACCTGTAATTACATTACAACTTTTTATTTTAAATGTATGAATGTATGTATAGTAAATTAGATAAATAATTATCAAATATTTAATCAATTATTCAACACAGATTTTACTGTTTAATAAATTTCAGTACTCTAGCTGTGTTGGCAAGTTGAAGGTCAAATCACTAAAAAACATAATGATCTCTAATTTGTTGAATACTTACAATTCTGAGCAAGCTTCACAATGATAAAAGACAAAGTCCTCAGGCAAAAGAAATTATCTTTACTTTGTATTCTTTCCCTCAAATCTTTAACATCCATTCTTTCTCCTTTATAGAAGAAACAAGTCAGTTCTCACAATAAAAAATTCTACACCCAAATAATTACAATTTTTTTATGCTCTGGCCCATTCATCAAATATTTTGACTACAAAACATATTAAAAATGACTATTGTGTCAAAAAACAATTTTATTTCTTAAACATACTACCAGCATATTTTAGTGATAGCCTAAAATTCTATACAAATATAATATTAATGTATGACATTATAGAAAATTCCATGTGACAAAATCAAATTGTGACATTCAATGAAAATTCAGAGTTCCTGAAGAGACATGAACATAATCCTAGCTTCAGACCACATGAAGACACAATACCTGCCATTTAGATACCTGCCAACAATCAGTGCCACAGAGTCTGTATTTCACTCCATCCCCATTGACAATAATCAAACTAAACACTTTCTTCAGGAGTTTTTAAATAGTTTCAAAGACTATATAGTCTCCTGAGTGTGTGTCCACACTATTAGTTATGAATATTAACCCTTCATAGAAAACAAAATCATGACACAAAGATGGTTAATAATTTTTTTCAAAAGTCAAAATGAAAGTTGTTAGAGTGAAGTAACATCATGGCCTAAATTTGACAAACTGGTATTAAACATGGCTCTAATAGTGAATGATAAATAATTTTAAATAAAATTCTGCCTATTTTGAAATTTTTATATCAAGAACAGAGGTGAGAAAACAGCACTATTATCAGGAAATTTTTATATTTTCACCAAGAGAATTTTTACTTGCATCCTTGACATGCAACAATTTTTAGGAAACTTTTCCATGAGTTGGAATGCTGTTGGAAATTCCTCATAAGACCTAACAAATACAGTACTGAGTTTCCCAAGTGACTCACAGAACACCATACTCACACTTCCTAATTTTCCATAAAATACATAACATTTATTTGGTTAATTAACATTTAAGAAATATAGGTGTAACTATATGAAAGGATCTACCTCTTATTGGCTGGTAAAAGTTTCCCCACTTGGAGGAAGAAGATCAAGCATCAGTAATTTGAGTGACCTGTCCTACAGTTCACATCACCATTTCAGGAAGTCTGGTGATTTTACGGCCAAACTGCACTTGCTTTCTTCAACATAATATATAGCATGTTTGACATTGCAGCATACCATATTTAGCACATTTAGCTACAGAGGAAGAAAATACTAAGTAAACGTGCTATCTGTCTGAGTGTTCTGCTCTTGCTCACTGTATAGGTATTGGGAGAGGTACAATGATCTATTTCTGGCTAACAATATTATTTTCTTCATTAGTGACTTTTGTTTATGTGTCAGACTGCAGTGAGTAGATTCATTGTCTATAAATATAGCTTTTAAATAGTAAAATAATATCAACTATCAAAGGATCTCATTAAATCTGAAAATAATCTCATATTTTAAATATTTTTAATTTATTAAAACTCAAGTAAATTAACAACTTCAAAGATAAACTCTGAACATTCAAATTTAAGGGATCTACAATTAATGCTAATTACTTTTAGAGAGTTAATTAACATTTAGGTAGTCTATACAAAAGTTTAGTGTTTGTGTTTGGGTTTCAGATTTTTTGGAACAGAATCTTAATATTTTGCCCAACTTAACTTGCAGCTCACTGTGTATCTATAGGGGTATCAAACTTCCCACAGTTCTCCTGCTTCAGCCTCCACAATGCTTCAATTAGAGGTCTGATTTATCAATCAAACATCCATGTCCTGTTTTTTTGTTTGGTTGGTTTTTTTGTTTGTTTGGTTGTTTGGTTTTTTCGAGACAGGGTTTCTCTGTGTAGTTTTGGTGCCTGCCCTGGATCTCCCTCTGTAGACTAGGCTGGCCTCAAATTTACAGAGATCCACCTGGCTCTGCCTCCCGAGTGCTGGGATTAAAGGTGTGCGCCACCACTGCCTGGCTTCCATGTCCTGTTTTTATGATACTTTATAATGTAAAGATTTGAGTCAGAATTCCTTCCCAACCTGCTATCATTCCATCTCTAGACAAAAAGAAGAAAACAGTAGAACAGATTCCAGGACTCATCTCTAGAATTAAGATACTAATTGCATTGATACTTGTAAAACCTGGACATTTTTTTCCAATATAAAAGAAAACATCCACCGAGGCAGGGACTGCTTGCATGCATTGGAGACACTTTTTCCAATAAACTGTTAATTTCTTTTCAGAGGTGAGTGGAATCAAAATGAAGGCTGATTTTCAGTAACCCTCTTACTCCTTATTGGTTCACTTATTTGTTTATACACTTATTTATTCATTTATTAGAGATTAGAGATTAGCCTTTAAACAGCTACTAAATAGACTTAGAAAAATTGTATCTCAATGTTACATTCTCAAGAGACAGCAACTGGTAAGAGCTTCAATACACTTTCTTAATATTGGAGTGGTGAATCAGAATTATTTACTTCAGTGACCAAATCTGCAAAGAGATTAGGCAAAGGTAACTTTTACTTTATTCAGTTTCTGTTCCACATGCCCCCTCCACCACCAAGAAAGGAACTGCAGTCATAAGACACACAGGGTTTATTCCAGAACACATTCTCATATTTTATTTTATGTTCCACTAACTTGGGAAGTCCATTTACATTAATAAATTAGTAACCAAAATAATAGTCTAGTCACATGTTGCAACTCTCCAAAAATGTGAATACATTTTCCATGTGGCAATCTGCTTCAACATTTCTTGGACTAGAATAAGAAAACAATTCTGTAATGGGTACATTGGAGAAATCTACATCAATTAATGCAGCCTTCTAGTCCTCGGATGATCATTTCTGACCTATCTGGGGCAACTCTGCCCCCAAGGAGTTTCTGCTTTCTGTCTGTGATGCAAGCAGCTTCTTGGTGAGAGGTGGGTATAATTAAGAAATGACAATTCATCGGAGTAGAATTTTCAATCTTAGTCAATATAAAATAGCAGTCATTAGTCCACCAACAAGTACCATGCTTTCTCAGAGGATTAGGTGTTCAAATTGAGAAAGTGGGAGTTAGTGTGATTCTGATGTAAAGGTATTTTATTTTCAGCTATACATGGTTAAAAAATTAAAAGAAATAAAAACTTCCAAATTCCTGTAGTTTTTATAAGAGACAAACTCATTCCACAGACTTGGTTAAGCATATACCATCACAACTATGAGAATCCTTCCTGTAAGTCAAAGGTCTCCACTGAGCAGAATGTGCTCAGTGGAATTGGGTGAACTTTTTCTGAAATGCTATACATGGACTATACATTTGTGTGACTGCTTTTACCCAGAAAACCTTTCCATTAAAGCACAATGCTTATCAAGGTCATTGTGAAAGCTGTAATTTTAAAGCTTTAGAGGAAGAATCTAGATAGAAGTATCAAGAAAAAAAATCATCTTAAAATAAATAGTTTGTTAAGAACTGATTCGTGTCTATTACTTACTTGATTTCAAAGAAAAGTGTTTTTTTAGAAGTAATCAGTCAGAAGGGGGTGGAAAATGTCACTCTCTTAAAGAGGCACAAGGAAGCTACTCATTTCCTTCTTTCTAGAGAGTCAAGGTTGACAGAGGAGGCTTGAGGTTTCTGTTGATAAGTCTACAATTCTGGCTACACTTGGTGACCCTGAATATAAAAGGAATAGAATATAGATGTATACATATTTTGTGACTGTAAATATTTCAGCAAGTTATCACCATCTAAAATATTAGAAGAGGTGATTGTGCCATTTCCAGCTTTTTCAGTTTCAGATGCAATATAACACAACCAGAATCATTTTTAACTCAATGTACATGATCACCAAACACCAGCACACATTAGTTTTAAAGAAAATAATAAGTAAAACATGAACAGATCCCCAGAGGTATTAGTTAAGCAGTAACAAAATGTCCAAGTAAAAGTTTGCTACACTAATGTAAATCACTTACATATTGTTTAGAAAAGCAAAATTCCAGACCAATTTACAAGGAAGAGCTTTTTTCTAAGATACTAATGTAAGAATAATCATTTTTAAACCATCAGAAGTACTCATTTTCCTTAATCCTCAACAATGTATTGTATCTTTTCTTTTAAATCTTTCAGAGTCATTAGTGTGTGCTGAAACATGAACATAATAGTATTATCACATACCTGCTGAGCAGAGGAATTGAAGTCTTTTCAGCTTCTCTAATGTTGGGGTTTAGTATCTCCAACCCCTCACAAAGCTATCTCCACAACAGCTGCAATCCAGTCAGGGAAGTTGTTAATTAAAGAACTGTGGGCCTTTGAGCATTTCGACTCCTACTGCAATGCTCATGGTTCCTTGATGTTTCTGAGAAATTCAACTCCACTCTTTCGCCTGCATTCCTTCCAGTCCCGCACATAAAATTATTTCTGAAGTTGCTGCCCAGAGTTTAAGTCCGTGAGGCCGGGTTTCTATTAATGACAGAAGAATGAAGAGGGTTGATTTTCATCCATCAAAGGGAACCGGCGGCATCGCCTTTTAGCTGCCAAGAGCTCTTGTTCATGACAGTGGCCTCAAGAACAGCAGTAGAGGCAGCCAACAGCAGCACAGCTAGGTCCCCAAGACTGCCGCCCTGTTGGGAGACGCTGTCCATCCCCTCCGGTGCTGAAGCGAGGGGACTAGGACCCTGTAGCCGGCCGCAGATCCTATTTCCCTGTTAAGGCCTCTTCCAGGACTCCCACCTTTGCCGCTTTTCCTCCATTTCTCATTTCTTGGGGATTATTGGTCTCTCCAGTATAATATCCTTCATTGTATACGCTGTCAGTGTTTCCGGAGAGACGGGAATCCGTGGGAAATAAGGTCCTAGCTTCTTCTGAGTCCGCACTGTCTCTGAGTGGGGTTCCTAATGGTAGAAATGAAAAATAACGTACGAACAAGGGCGCGCACAGGCGCGCACAGACGCGCACAGGATGGGGGGGGGGTGGTGGGGAGACAGGAAAAGGGGAGGGGAAGAGGAGGAGAGAGAAAAGAGAGGAGGAGGGGTCTGAGCACTGTGGAAACCGTAGAGGTGCTTTGGAAACCTCGTGGGTCTTTAATTACGAGAAGGGCTATTTGGAAGAGCCCAGCAAATCTTGCTTCCAAGCCGGGGCGAAGACACATTCGTATTTTGCAGCCCTAAGTGGAATTTCGAGACAGAGAATGCGGAAACAGATGGAAGGGACAGGGAGAGACATGGGATACCTTTGTTTCCGAGAAGCTGTAGCGAGGTGGAGAGCTAGCCAAGGCCGCAGAAGTGTGCGCTGGCGGCTAGGCCAAGGAGATTGCGTTCTAGCATGGACCCTCCCACCGCCCATTGCCTGGGCTCCCGGGGGCGTCTCGCAGAACAAAGACAGACAGAGGGTAGTGGATTAGGTAAACGGGGCTGCTAGGCCATCCGGAAAAGGCTCCGGCAAGACCTAGGCACAGGGCCGAGACTCCCAGGCCTCTAAACTCCACACTCCGACTCCTGGCTGTGCAGCGCAGACCCCACTCCACCAGAGAAGCTTCCTGTGGAGCTGGACACGGTTTGCGTTGGTGGCTCTATAGGAGGCCTCTGAGGGCTTCTCCACCCACACTTGGCAAGTGGTGCCGCCACGAATAGAGCGAGACTGGGTAATTGAAATACACAGCATGGAAAATGGGGCCAGCTGCTTAAAACCGCCCCCCTGCAGCGCTCGGAGTGACCATGGCCCTCTGATTCGAGCCTGGGCCGCTCCCAGCTCCAGCCAAAGAACTTGTGCAGCGTAGACTTCTGTACCCGGAGTTTGTTCCGTCCTAGGGACGATGCCTGCAGAGCGCAGGAGCACTTAGAAGGCAATAGTGCGGGCTCGGTACCAGGAGGCATTTTGCGGGGTTTCCCGGGCTGCACGATGAGGGCGGGAGGTGGCTGCACAGGAAAGGACTAGTAGGCTACCGGAGAGGAAACGTCCAGAGCACACTATTCCTCAAACGCTGGCCTGCTTTCCCTGGCTTGTGACCATTCCCTGTTTGCTGCTCTTCACGGCTCCTGCTGCACGAGGCCCACGCAAGTGCCTCCCTCATTTCAGGACTCTATATAGAGAAATACACTCGCAGGAAAAGCGCTAGGGTCCAGGCCCGCACTCACTTACTCCAGGTCTGAACCTAACTCTGGGGCACTTTACAACTCGGGAGTTCAAAGGACAAAGCTGATGATGTACAAAGACATAGTTTGGGAGCTAATTTTAAAGAACTTTTTTATTTTCCGTTTTCTGGGGAAAGGATTATGGTAAATTACTCCCTCCCCCTTCCTACCACCAATGTAAACAAGAGTTTCTTGTATCCATGAAAACAAATACGTTTGCCCAAATACGTTTGCCCAAATACGTTTCAGAAGGTACCCTATTTTTGCCAGAGAATAAAAATAGCTTGTTTAAAGGCTGTTTCTTGCCTTTGCTCTGTTACATGGTTATTTAAACTGATGCAAGTTATTGTTTAAATTGTTTTTTTGTACATATAGAGACATAAATCATCACAGGAAATTAGTGCAGCAAATAAAAGCCTATAAGTAAAGCACAGAGATGCCACTAATTGAAAGCATATGCACTTCATTACCCAACCACAGGGACAGATTTCCCTTTGTAGAGCACAGATTAATGCTAAGACAGAGCCTCCCTCTCAACCCTGCCACCAAGTAAAAAGAAATGGTTGATTAATTTAAGCTGTCATAACTAACAGATTATAGTAGTTTTGATGTCTTTTCTTGAAGAAGAAAAACTGTTGCACGTTTTTCCTCATTAACCTGTGCAAAGCATTGTAGAATGAAGATGGTGAAGAGCAAATGCAGTGGATCATCTAATGCTACAAATGAATGTAAAGTATAATAAAACAGGGACAGACAGGCTGAGGCGAATTGAAAAACTAGTTTTAAAAAAAAATGCTGTTGAATAAGATTTGTAAAAAGAAAATTTCAATCATTTTTATTCTTTTTTTCTTACTTTCATGTATTGGAATTACTTCTTTTCTTCTGTTTATTAATTTGTTTAAAATTTATTTTACATACCAACCACAGTTTCCCCCTCCCTCCTTAGTCCTGTTCCTCCCAAACTCCTTTATAGCCCCCTCTACCCCATTCACTCTTCTTCACAAAGGGTAAATCCTCCCATGAGAGTCAACAAAGCTTGGCATATCAAATTGAGGCAGGACTAAGTTCCTCCCCACTGCATCAAGGCTGAACAAGGCATCCCACCATAGGGAATAGGTTCCAAAAGAACACCTTTCACTTGTTTGGTTAGAATTACCCCAAGATATGTAATATTATTTGTGGCTATTGTACAGGGTGTTGTTTCTCTGATTTCTTTCACAGCCTGTTTATGATTTGTATATAGGAGGGCTACTGATTTTTTTAAGTTAATTTTGTATCCTGTCACAATATAAGGTGTTTATCAGCTGTAGGAGCTCCCTGATAGAATTTTTGGTGTCACTTATGTATACTATCATATCATCTACAAATAGAAAAATGTTGACTTATTCCTTTCCAATTTGTGTCCCCTTGATCTCCTTGTTGTCTTATTGCTCTAGGTAGAAATTTGAGTACTATATTAAATAGATATGGAGAGAGTGGAGAGCCCTTGTTTTGTTCCTGATTTCAGTGGAATCACTTTGAATTTCTCTCTGTTTAATTTAATGTTTGCTGTTGGCTTGCTTTTATTATTTTTAGGTATGTTCTTTGTATCTCTGCTCTGTTCAAGACCTTTATCATGAAGAGGTGTTGGATTTTTTCATAGGCTTTTTCAACATCTAAAGAGATGATCATGTGTTGTTTTTTTTTTTCAGTTTGTTAATATTGTGGATTACTTTGACAGATTTTCATATGTTGAACCACCCCTGCATCTCTGTGATAAAGCCTACTCAATCATGGTGGATGTGGTTTTTTTTTTTTTTTTTTTTTTTTTTTTTTTTTGATGTGTTCTTGAATTCTGTTGTTGGATATTTTATTTAGTATTTTTGCATCAATGTGCATGAGGGAGATTGGTCTATAATTCTCTTTCTTTTATGCATCTTTATGTGGTTTGGTTATTAGGATAACTGTAGCCTCATAAAAAGAGTTTGGCAATGTTCCTTCTGTTTCTATTGTGTGTAACAATTTGAGGAGTATTGGTATTAGCTCTTCTTTAAAATTTTGGTAGAATTCTCACTTGAAACCATCGGGCCCTGGGCTTTTTGGGGTTGGGAGACTTTTAATGACTGCTTCTATTTTCTTAAGGGTTATAGGGCTATTTAAATTGTTTATCTGGTCTTGATTTATTTTTTCTAAGTGATGTCTATCCACAAAATAGTCCATTTCTTTCATACTTTCCAAATTTTTGAAGTATGACCTAGTGATATTCTGGATTTTTGGTTGTTTTTTCTAAGTGATGTCTATCCACAAAATAGTCCATTTCTTTCATACTTTCCAAATTTTTGAAGTATGACCTAGTGGTATTCTGGATTTTTGGTTGTTTTTTTCTTTTTCTTTTCTTTTCTGAGACAGGGTTTCTCTGTGTAGCTTTGCACCTTTTCCTGGAACTCACTTGGTAGCCCAGGCTGTCCTCGAACTCACAGAGATCCACCTGGCTCTGCCTCCTGAGTGCTGGGATTAAAGGTGTGCACCACCATTGCCTGGCTATTCTGGGTTTTCTCAGTGTCTGTAGTCATGTCCTCCTTTCCATTTCAGATTTTGTTAATCTTGATATTTTCTCTCTGCTTTTTGGTTAGTTTGAAAAAGAGTTTGTCTTTCTTGTTTATTTTCTCAATAAAACAAAAACAAAAACAAATCTTTGTTTCATTGACTGTGGTGATATTTTAATTGTGCTGAAAATGTGATTTTATTTGTATGTTAATAAATAAAGTTTGCCTGAAGATCAGAGGTCACATAGCCATAACACACACCCTTAATCCAATCACATAGCAGGCAGAGTCTCTGTGTGGTCAAGGACACAGCCAAGTATGGTGACATGAGACTTTAATCCCAGTACCAACCGTAGAGACCTGGGGGTCTGTATACACAAGCAGTGATGAGGAAGTCATGTGGTTGGGCTTAGAGCCAATGAGAAGGCAGAACAGGAAGGGACTAAAAACACAAGTTAAATGGGAAGAAACTCTCTCTGGGCAAGCGACTGCAGTGAGGTGGTAGGAAAAGGTAGTCATGACTCTTCTCTAGTTCTCTGATCTCTTTGGCTATTGCCTCTGTATTTGGCTCTGTGTTTCTTATTTCATAAGACTGTTTAGAAATCTGTCTACAATTGATTCTTCCTATTGTCTTCTTTGTTTCTATTTTATTGGTCTCAGCACTCAGTTTGATCATTCATCTACTCCTCCTGAATGGGTTTGCTACTTTTTGGTCTAAGGCTTTCTGGTATACTGTTAAATTGCTAATATGGGATTTCTCCAAATTCTTGATATAGGCACTTAGTGCTATGAACTTTACTCTCAGCACTGCTTTCATAGTGTTCAATAACTTTGGGTATATAGTGCATTCATTTTCATTGAATTCTAGAAAGTCTTTCATTTCTTTCTTTATTTCTCCCTTGTCCCAGTGTTGATTTATTTGAGCCTTATTCAGTTTGCATGAGTTTGTAGGCTTTCTGTAATTTGTGTTGTTGTTGAATTCCAACTTTAAGCCATGGCGATCTGATAAGATACAAGGGAATATTCCAATTTTTTTGTATCTGTTGAAGTTTGCTTTGTGAATTAGAATGTCATCAATTTTAGAGAAGGTTACCTGGGGTGCTGAGAAGAAGGTATATTCTTTTGTGTTTGGGTGAAATGTTTTATAGATATCTGTTAAGTCCATTTCAGTCATAACTGTTAGTTATTTGGCGGTGCTCTTACCCTGTGAGGAAATGTCACGAGACATGACAGAATCCACTAACAAAAGTTTTATTAAGATAAGAGAGAGAGACAGGTGTGCTCAGGCCTGTTGAAGAGACATGTGCATAAAGAAGGAAGCCGGGAATATGGCACAGGCTTATAAAGGCTGGGTCGTGCATGCATACACAGTTTCATGTGCGTAGATCACATGGTTGTGTTGCATGCTTTACGCAGCCATGTAAAGCCATGGGGTTCTGGTCACACGAAGCATTTTGACCCGGAAATCGTCACACGAAGCATTTTGACCCGGAAATGGCTATTTTGACCTGGAACTGGCTAGGCGGAAGTGTCTAGGTCCACTGGACATGCCCAATCATGCCCAACCATGGGAGTATGTTGTGAATCTATCAATAACATCTATTATTTCCCTTATTTCTCTATTAAGTTTCTGTCTGGCAGACCTGTCCATTGATTAGAGTGAGGTATTGAAATCTCCCACTCTTAGTGTGTGGGGTTTGATGTGTGCTTTAAGTTTTAGTAATGTTTCTTTTACAATGTGGTTGCCCTTGTATTTGAGGTGTAAATATTCAGAATTGAGACTTCATTTTAATGAATTTTCCTCATGATGAATATGAAATGTCTTTCTCAATGTCTTTTGATTAATTTTAGTTTGAAGTCTATT